TTTTAAATAACTTCAGTCAGAACAACTCTGAAATATTTAAACAAGAGACGGGAGAAACTGTAAACCTAATGAAATCCATAAAAACTGAAGTGTGTGTGTGTGTGTGTGTGTGTCTCCCTCACCCTGCTGGACGGTTTTCGGGGGTCTTCAGAGAGGCTGAGCAGCAGGTAGAGAACAGACCAGCGATGTTTGAGGACACTCTGACGGAGAGAAAAACATCAACATGACCTGCAGGACGTACCTCAGTGAGCGATCAGAGACTAACCTTCTTCTTCTTCTATGATCGTAAGCTTTACAGGTGAAGACGTGAACTCACCTGCGTCTGAAGTTTTCTGTGCAGCTCAGAGAACAAAGCAGCGTCTGCTTCTCTCCTCTGCTTCAACACTGCAACAAAACAAAACCCGTCAGCTGGGACGTTTGAAAGACAAAGAGCCCTTCAAAACAGACGCACCTGAACACACACAGAGCCGTCTTAATCCCTGCAGAGCTTTTTAAAGTAATACATCATGCTGAAGAACTACAGAATGACAGAAACCTCCATGTTCTGCTCTGCAGCGTGAAGAAACCTCTTAGAAGAGTGGATGAAAAATAGCATCAACACTCAAGCAGTGGAAATAGTAAACAGTTTTAAATATCTCAGAGTAACATTAGACAACCGACTCAGTTTTGAACAGCACACCAAGGGACATCCAGAAAAAGAGTCAGCCATACGCAAACTGAAAGGACTCTATGTTGCCCCCTCGTCTCCTCCTGCTGCTCTATCAGAGCATGATCCAGCCCATCTTACTGTACTGCTCCACCTGCTTCTTCAACATGTTACCTGTAAAAAACAAGGCCAAACTCACACGCATCACAACCACAGCTGCTAGAATAATCGGTCTCCCCACACCCAACCTAACAGAACTCAATAACAGGGCCATCACACCCACTGAACACTCACCTCGCCCCACTCCCCTCAGGACGGAGGTACAGAGCACTGAGGTGCAGAAAGGCTCGCCTCGGGAGGAGCCTGATCCCCTCTGTAATACCGGTCCTGAACAAAAGGCCTCGCTGAACAGGCCAGAGTGGGAACTCCTGACTGTTGTCTGACTCTGTTTGTGTTAGTCTCTGTATGAATGTTCTTTGGTTGGACTTGTCTGTTGGACAGTAACGGTGCTGTAAAAAAGAATTTCCCCTCGGGGACAATAAAGTCTAAAAAAAAGACCAAGTGTCATGCTGAAAAAACACCAGGAATTCCCATTTCCATTTCAAAGAGGAGGAATACACAGCTCAGAATAAACCCACTTCTTATCAGGCAAACAGAGAAAATGTAAATATCAGAAGTAGCTGCTGCATGATAACAGATTTCATACACTTTGTGAAAACACTTAAAGGTAACACATTCAAACTGGGCCCCCTCCTCCTCATCAGAAGCTCACACTCACAAAAACTCAAGAAAAGAACATCATCTTCATTTTGGAAAGGAGTGAAATGTTTGACTGCTGCGGCTGTTTGAGTGCAGCGAGGGTTGGACATCGATGTGCATGACACTCAAATGAAACGGTTAAGATGAACTCCTCACCTCTGCTGCAGTATTCAGTATGAATATGTTGTCATTAGGAGGGTTAGTTTTTGTCCTAAAGGGTACTTACGTTCTTTCTTGATCTTCTCTGAAACCAGGACCTCGTCTCGTTCGATGGTGGGGGCGTAGTTACTGCCAATGACTCGCACTGCGTACTGGAACTGGTGGGCGACTTCAGCTGGAGACAGGAAGGAGTGAAGATCTTTAAATCACCAATCAACAAACTGGTTGTAAGTGCACATTATGACAACTAAAACTTCGACACTAACAGTGAGTGTGTGTGATGAAGACCACAAAGTCAAATCGGCAAGTCGGGCACCTAAATCTTCAACGAGTTCTCGAAATGTTTGGTCTTGAGCAGGCGTCACTTTCACAACTCAGAATGTCATTTTGCCTACATGAGAGAGGCTCATGATTTTGGGTTTGCACCTTGAGGGGTGACCAATCAGATTTCAAGGCCACCTCTAGCTGCTTCTGGACTTTTGCTTCAGTAAAGGTTGTAAATAATGGGACCAGATTAGTGTTGCTGAAACTCTGAGTTTGGATTAAATAATAACTCTACTGCCAACATTACCAAGCTGCAAAGTTTAGGAGTCTTACATCACAGGGTTAATGCTGAAAACATGTCCAAGTGACTAAAGAACAGTGGATTATATTATTATTTAACTGGATTCTCCATCATCTCTGCTGCAGCCCTCTTCTTCTGAGATGTCTGCATCCAGCAGGGGCCTGCAGCTAGCAGACATCAGAGCATCCTTTAAACATCTTCACAGAGTTTTGATCCAGGTTAAAGGATAATAAACACACCTGACAGCTCAACATGTCACCTCTTACTGATTCATTACATTAAAGATAGCGTTACACTGACAGCTGTTGAGCAGCATCCAGCCCCCATTGGCTGCTGAGAGCTACGCAGACCTAGCCCCGCTACGTGCCGCTGAAACCCAGCAGCAGACTCACTGATATTTCTGTTTTTAAACACTGTAATGTCTAAAAGTGAGCATCTTTACAAACAACTCAGTGAAAAGAACGGGCATTTATCTCTCTTTAATTCGGCGTATGTACATCAGATCAAGCATCTTCAATTTTATTCCAATTTCAACTATTTCCCACAAAATCCCATCATTAGGACGCTGCGAGATTAGCTGAGGTGCATGGTGTAAAAAGTTGAATTATTTTAAAATCTAAAACTGCCTGCTGTGAAAATCGTACGCCGAATTGTTCATGAGGTGGATTAATATCAATACGATCACTTTACTTTGTGTTTAAAACATTAATAATGGATGAGTGGACACGCAATGTCAAAGTGCGGGATTTGTAAGTGAGGTTTGGTTTGTCGGTTCTTCACTGCCACAGACGGGCGACGGATGCTAACGCTAACTGATGTACCTTCGCTTTTCCCCGTGATCCTGCAGCAGAGGCTCTGGAGCAGCACGTTGGGTGATTTCTGATCCAAAGTCGCCATACTGTCGAGGCTAACGTCGCCGATAATAACAGCGAAATAAATACCACAGACTAAAATGAACTAACTCAAGTCGCCCACTACGAACATCGCCATTTTGACAAGTCTAGTCAAGCTAGCGAGAAGCGGAACGGAAACTACCGTCACATCCGGTACTTGTACTACAAAATAAGAGCGCAGACAATCGCAGTCGGTTTACATTTCAGGACTGGAGAATACATTTTGATTAGCCTATTAATTAAAAGTTGATATGCAAAAGAAAAATAAATTATAGTATGCTCGATTTAACTGTTTATGTTTTAGTTGGGAGTCTTTTAACCAGCAAAGACTTTATTTGTGTTGTTAACCCGAGCCTTTAACTTTCTTTATAGCATTGTTATTTTTTATTCGTAAGGACAATTTGTGACTCTTTAAATCACTTATCAATCAATGAGTTGATCAAAACTTTATTCACTCAGGGTTCAGAGAAGGCAAATACAAAAGTCATCAAATACAAAGCATAGTGTAAGAACAAAATGCTATGCATGGCATACAATCACTAAAATAAATACAAATAACACCCTCAGAGGATACGAGATTATTTAAAATGGTCCATATCGTTATTATGCTATTGGAATTAATCGTCACTCATCAAACTTTCTGATGGAAGGCTAAATATTTATTAAAATTCCTCTCATAGGTTAAATTAAAATCAGTAGACCAACTGTCTTTTCACAATTTAATAGACAGGTGTAAAAATTAAAGGCTGTTAATTAAAGAAAAAATAAGTTTTTGGATTTGCAATAGATCTGTGTTTGAAGCATAACCCACTAACTACAATGAAGAGCTTTGGTTTGAAAGAATCAGTGTGTTTATTAATGTATTTGTACGTATTTAAATGTTTTATTGTATTGCTGCAGGGCACACCAGTCGCAGTCGGCTCTCTCGGCTCTAAAATAATAAATAAATTAAATTAAATTAAATTAAAAAATAATCCGTATAGCTTTGTGGATTGGGACATAAAAATACTTCTAAAGGAACAAGATGAAGCCTTGAGAAAGTAACTGTTTTATTTTCAAAGGTTTAAACCGGATGAGGTTGTTGTCACCATGGTAACTTGGCGCGTGTGTTCAAAGTTAACCCGCCGAAATGCGTCTCCAGGAAACAGCGGACGGACAAACGAAGGAAAACATTTCCCTCCAGAAACAAAGAGACCGAACTGGAAGTTCTGACCCGGCTGACCCCCCAAAGCAAATAAATATTCACAAATCGATGGCTTTGAGATTTAATACAGTCATGAAATGTCGGCAGCAATTTGAAATATTTGTGTACATTTTTTTTATAATAGATTTATTTTATGTGATTTTAATAATTTTCTACACATTTTGTGTTCCATCTAAATATTCTAACCATAATATAATAATATAAAAATTATAATATTTTTTATTTTTTATAAAATGTAAACCTTAAACTCCCTCAGTTCAGAAAGTCTTTAAATAGAAAACTGTTGATTATTAAAACATTTTAAAATAATTATTTGAAGAGAATACTTTGTCAGAGGTATTTGATATTTATTTAAATTTAAAAAAAACATTTGATGTGTAGTAAATATTAAAGGAGGTATTTGTGGAAATGTTTTGATTTGTTTATTATTTTTTCCTCGTTTATTTATTTTTATTATTTTATTTTTGTTAGTTTCAGCACCATCTGTAATGTCCGAGCTCACCCCCCCCCCCACACACACACACACACACACACACACACACACACACACACACACACACACACACACACACACACACACACACACACACACACTTATCAATTTTTAAGCCCTGTAATATTTTCTCTTATTTTGTACCTTCTTGCACTCTCAATCAAAAACTTAATTAACGCTTATGTCCAATCAATTACACGCCAAAATCGCTAGAGTGCGCATGCGCTCACCTGCAGCGCAAACCCACAGCCACAGCCACCACCAACACCACCTGGCACCCCGTGACGTAATGAGAGAAAAGCTCCTTTTGCCGTGGCGCGACACAAGCAGATTATTAGTGCGCACTGTGAGAGGAAACGAGAGGCAGGAGGAGCAAGAGGAGGAGAGACCTGACACTAGTTTCTTCTTCACTCTCTCAGGAGGAGGAGGAGAACACACACACACACACACACACACACACACACACACACACACACACACACACACACACACACACACACACACACACACACACACACTTGCCCGTGCCTGTTTGAACGGTGAGAAAGACGCGCAGACACTCCTCTTTTTTTCCTGAAAGTGAGGCGTAGGTGAGTTCAGGTCTTTACGCATTGTTCACTCGGCTCTGTCGGACTTTGTGTTTTATCCAGGAAGACGAGCAGCGGGGCTGACAGTCATGGACAACACCGGAGAATTAAAGAGAAGTTAGCGTGAAATAACCTCTTTGGAAAAACGACGTTACAAGAAGAAGAAGAAGAAGTGTCCGGAGAGTAAAGAGGAACAAGATGGGGATGGATTTCAGCACTCTTCGGACCCTCATCAGCAGATATGTAAGTTTTTAAACCCCTTCTGTGTTCTATCCCCTCCGCTTCTTATCTGCTAAACAAAAGTCTTCACGTTATCCAAAGATAAACTGGAAAAGGTGAGAGTTTTTTGTTTTTATTAAGCCTTCTAGTGGTTTCAAATTCCGCAGAAGCAGATACTCATCCGGATTAAGTTTCACTCGCGGAAGGGAGCTCATGAGGAATGAGGCTGAACCCCACTTCAGACTGTTTCTGCTTAATTAAGGAGTTATACTTCTGTATTAAAATGTGTTTTCCTTTTCTTTTAAAACACGTATAATTCAGCAGAGTTCACCAAACCCCGTGCAAATACAATCAGATGTATACTTTATATTGGCTCATCTATCTTTAAAACCTTTATGTTTTGCAAACACATCTTAAGAAAGCTGGTGCTGTTTTTATGTTTTAAGAAGCATGAACTTTTGGACACACAGCCTTAGTCTTGAGGGAAGTTGAGTATTTCCTGATAGCCTTGGTTGAGTTAAAACGTCAGATTTCTTGCTGAGATTTGGCTCACAACAATGTTGTCACTGACCTGAAATCCAGAGAGAGAGAGAGTCACACCTCCAGTTTAAAAACAAATCAGAGTGGCACATTGAAAAGTGAAGGTGGAGACACCTGAATGCATCACAATAGACTTTATTGTAATGCAGCATTCTGGAGAGGAGGTTGAATATTCATGCATGACACAGTTTTGAGCAGTTTTTAGTTTTCATTCGGTGGAGTTCACAACACCTCACATGACACCAAACCCGTCTAAACATAATCACATTTTAGCTTTATAGTAAATTATCTAACATTTACACCTTTGTGGGTTGTGAACCTTCTTCAAAGAGGCACGTTTTTTATTGTGTGTTAGAATATATCAGGAATATAATCCTTTATTTGTAAGATTTTGGGCTGCAGCTGAAGAGAGAGAGCGAGGACACGCAGCAAAGGGCCGAGGTCAGATTTGAACCCACGGCTGCTGCGACGACGACTAAAGCCTCTGTCCACGGTGCACGACATAGCTGCTAGGCTACCGGCGCCACTTTTTGGGGGCTTTTTCTGCCTTAATTGTCGAGACAGGACATATTAAAGAGAATATAATTCTTAAAATGACACCAAACCCTTTCCACATATTATCATTTGTTGTCCATCATGAAAACATTGAGGGTTTTCAGAAAGGTGCATTTATTACCACCGGCGTCGTCTGGGGGAGAAAAAGCGGGAACTTTTGCTTCCAAAGACTTGTTCTTGAGAGACGCTCAGTATTTCTCGATCACCAACTTTCAGATTTTTAAACGAGGTTTGACTCAAACAAACTTTATCACCGATCAGGGATCCAAGGAGATGATTATTTCACACTCAAACACTGCAGCGCTTTCTGTTTTTTATAGAACAAATCAGACTTGTATGTTGACAAGTGAAGCTGGATTCACCTGTTTAATGTATTTCTCTGCATAGTATCCCCGTGATCCTGCAGCAGAGAGCAAATATCCAGGCATGACAGAACATGCCCAAATATGCAGAAATACAGCAGTTATAAGTGTCATTCATTTTGCCATGTCATCAATAAAAGAAATATCTAGTTTCAAAATGTCTGCACAGTTTGAGGATATTTTTTAGTTTATTCTGTCGTGTTTGAACGTATGAACTCCTCTTCAGCGCGGTGGTAACTCTGCTTTACAATGCCCCCCCCCCTCTCCCCGTTGAAGCCGGCCTACAAATGGAGCCCCATCAGTCCCATGAATTATGTAATCCAGTTGTTTTCTCCCTGCTCGATGAATCGATGTGCAGCAGAGGAGCGTCCAGTCGGCACGGGTTGCATTAGGGCTCCACGGTAATGCGTTTGACTCTAATCCAGACGGTGCAAGCCCCTGCTCACATGAGAGCCAGCGAGGTTTAAACCCCCCCCCCGGCTCCACGCTCAGCTGAGGCTTACACACAGCCCTCCCAAATGGCAGATAACATAAAATCCCTGCTGTGAGGAGGCTGAAATGGAGCCTTTATAGTAAGAAACAAGCAGAGACAAGCATGTGATGGTAGGATGTGGGACGCTGATGAGGTCTAATTGATCTAGATAACTGCTTCAGACAAATGGCTCGGGGTTTCAATTGATTGTTTTGCTGCTGCAAGAAAAAAACTTTTTCTGAACGCTGAAGATTAGAGTTTGGAGTTCTTATCTGGCTGTAGATCAGATCTTTAAATATCAGTCACTGCTGAGATTCTGTACAAAAGTATAAAACTCAAGCTCCACGTTTGAATCCTGGGGAAAATAGCCTTTCCTGTCAATCAAGGGAGAATCCAAAATATCCAATCAAACTTTGACTTTCAGACGAGGCTTGCAGGAGAAACTTCAGATAAAGTCGGAGTGAAAGATTTCAGCTCACTCTGAAAACTTCAGGAGTTTGTGTGACTCCTGAAGTGAAACGTCGAATCCATGGGGGCCGGCGCATCATGCACACCAAACGTAACCTTTATTAAACGCTGACTTTTTGTTTTCTTGTAATCACTTCCAGAAGTTTCTGAATGAAATAATGAACGCAGCAAAGTCAGTTTGAGTCTGCAGCCGTGTGTGCTGAAGCAAACTGTTGATGTTTGTGTTTAGGTGGGTAAAAACTCAAAAGCAGCCGCATTCCTCTGCTGCTGACGAATCTGGAATCCAGGACAGGAAAGGCTCTCTCCCCCCCCCCCCCCCCCCCCCTCTCTCTCTCTGTGTCTGGCTCTTCCTTCCTTCACCCTCTGGATTAAAGGGTTACTGCTGTTCACCCACTTAATCCAGTTTGCAGCTATACCTTCAAATCCCAGCCAATCACTGACATCCTGCTGCTTTATTCCGCCTGCTGATTGGCCGGTTTAATGTGCAGTAACCGATCTGTGCACATGAAGCGGGAGTGACAGTTTAGTGTAAGTGTGCGCTGGTCGTCTTGTTGTCTCGTTTGCAGGATGTAAGGGAGCAGGTGGAATGGAGGAGCAGGCAGGTGACGCAGAGGGCAGCGGATCACATGACCTCCTCGCCTCCGTCTGCTCGTCAATAATTCAGAAACACAGCGGCGGATAATGTCGGCTGACGTTTGTGCAGCTTGTTGAAGAGTCCTCCTCAGCAGGGTGGCTCAATATGGGGTGCAGGGACTCCCACAGGGTCCCTCTAGAGAACACAAGAAACAGAAAGATGTTTTGTATTTTATCTGACAACTGCCTATAAAGCTCAATTTGGTGTTGAGTAATTTCTGAATAGAGTCATAAAAGTGCCAACAAAGGGGGCGCCGGTGGCCTAGTGGTTAGTGTGCGTGCGTGCGCCCCTTTGTACGGAGTCTGTAGTCCTCCGAGCGGGCGGCCCGGGTTTGCATCCGGCAGGTAGCTCCTTTCCTGCATGTCAGTCCTCACTCTCTCTCTCAATTCAATCTATGAAGCTTTATTGGCATGAATCTCTCTCTCTCTGATTTCTGACTCTATCCTGGGAGTGATTGTCTCTGCTACGCCAACCCTCGATAAAAACGAACTCCTGGTTGACCGTAGTCAAGGCGACCGGGCGAAACCGACCGAAAGAGAATATGTTTACAGACGAGCTGATGTATCCGAGTATAATCTACATGAAGTTTTTATCACAGCAGCACAGACAGCAACAGCTTTCATGCAGCCAGACCTTTGACCTCACATCCGTTGTTTCCATGGCAACACGTCTTGTCTGTCATGGCGGCTCTGTCATGGCAGCGGCAAACGACAACGTTTCGGTCTAGCCGACCTTCCAAAAAGTTGTACTAATAAATATGTCAGCATGAAGGGAGACAGTGTGCAGGAGCTTTTCTCTTTTCTAGTTTGACCTTCCTCCGACACACCTGCTACTTTTTGCTATCTTTAAGGGACCAGCTGTCAATCAACAGGCTTGGGGCGGGACTTCCTGTCCAGTAAATTAATGAAAAGGTTTCTTATTATTCCTTAAAATGTCTCTTTTTATCTTGGCACAAATTTTCTCCTTTTTTCCTTCTTCCTGTTGTCAGGTTGATATTTCCTTCCCCTCGTGTGTTATCAAAGAGCGGTAACTTTAAAGATAAAATAATGTCTCAGGAAAGGGCTCGTCTTTCCCCACGTTGTTGTGAAGTTGTAGTTTTGACGGCGGCAGGTTTCCTCTCTGCTTCTTGCTAATCATTTAACACCCGCCCGTCCACGGAGAGCAGGAGGTTAACCTCTTTATCTGCAGGGTTTACAGGCTCTCACTAAGCCACGTCGCTCTGCTTTCCTCCCTCATAGAACCAGCTCTCGTTTTGTTTACATGAAGACAAAACATGAGGCAAATATTTATATTTAACAATCGACTAAATCCTCGATCGAGCTCTTATCAAACACAATCCTCTTGATCAGATTTTGGTGTTCAAAAGTCAGAGTGATTGTGTGAGTGCACCTCTGCTCTGTGATGATATTATTCAGGGTTTCATGGAGCACATTTGATTAAATCTGGTGTTTTCTTTTATTTTCTTTATGGTCCAAGTGAAAGGTTTAGGCCCTCCCTTAGTGTGTCTGTGGCTTCAGATGGCGTCCATACGTTGAAACCATTTCCACATCTTTTTTTGCTGTTATGCTCTTTGACTCTTCTGTACTCGCTGCGGAGCTTCTTGCTCTTCTTTTCTGATTTCCTCACGAACCCCTCTGCAGCCATCCTTCGCTCAACAAGTTAAAAAAAAAACACTTTTTCACTCTACACACCGCCGTCCAGTTCCCTCTGCACCTCGGAGGTCGTCCATGGCGCAGTGCTACGTGCTCACATTGTTATCAAAAGAATAAAAATAAATAGAAAAGCCTTGAAACTAATCTCCACAAATCAACAAAAATGTAAATTAATTGTAGAACTAAACATGGCACGTTTAGCTCCACCTTTTAGGATTGCATTGGTACGCTTTGCACCACAAGAGAAGAGTAGGATGTTACAGATCGGTTGTCATGGTAACATTCAACCTTTGACTGCTACTTGACCGGTTGTCGGGGGTTCTAGTTATTTTTTGTAAACT